AAAAAAAAAAAAAAGTATGCAAGATTTACAGAAAATAATTTCAAAATTTTGATGCTATTCTCTGAATAAAATTTTGACATAATTTAACGCTGACAAATAAAAGTTTTTAAATTTCATTCTCCAATCTACAACGGCCACAAATGTTTACAGATTTGTGTGCTTTTACAACTGTATTCGCTTATATTCTATTCTGTGAAGTGTAGGTGTTTGAAAATTAACAAAGTAAGATCATGTTTCTGAAATTTCATAGTACTTCTTTTAATGACCTATTTTAAAAAAAATTGAAAAGGGCTTTTTTTTTGCAGGTTATTTATCTCTTTATTAAACGGAAATTTCGATTTAATAACTGTTAGTATTTGATGATTGAAAGTTTGGGAAGTGGGAGAATTGGTTCGTATTTGCGAGAAGAGCTTAAATTTTGACTCCAGATTTAATTTTGTGAAAGTTAATTAGTTGGCTAACCTTTGATCAGTTTTGACATCTACAATAAATAAGCATTTTAAAAACTTTAACTGTTGCATGAAGTTTATCTGTTCAAACAGCCAAATCAGCATCGTGATTGAAGAAAAAAAATTATTAAAGCGAATTAGTCACTAAAATTTTTTCATCTCTTATTTTCTGAAAGCAACCAGGTTTTATGCTTACTTATTTGGCATTATAGGATGAGTCTCTGATCCTCTGATCCTTTGTTCACTTTTATTTATTTCATATTTATGCTTGAGAGACCCCACTCATTCGCAAGAGGTCTGTTTGATAAAACCGTAAAATGTTGAATAATGAAAGAATAAGGAGATGAAGGTATCTTTTGAACAGATATTTTCAAGGTTCTTAATTTGAGGAGAAAGGCAAAACTGTCAGAAGTTGTCCTATGACTGGATCAATAAGCTCATTCTTCGGCTAAAATTCTGTTCTTTTTCTTGCACAAATTTACACCTTCAAAGCCACATGCATTTTCATCCGCTTGTGCTTTTTGACTGTAACTGTAAAACAATGAGTAGTACTCTTCAAGCAACTGATTTGAAACAGCGGTAATTTTCCTGCTTCTGTCGCTTTCTCAAGTCAAATTCTTCTCAATTTTATAAAACTTTGTCTACCTTCTTTCTAAGCAGATAGCTTCAAATTATGGCAAAAAATAAGATGCTCTGAAAAAAACTAAAACCAAAGCTTTGAAAAATGTCGCAAAAATTTGCAAAACTACTGATTAATCTAGTTGAAAAGATCTAATACTTAAAATAGCTGAAATTCCTGGTAGTTTTGTGCAGACAGAAAACTGCCAAATTTATACTGTTTTTTCTTCTGTCATTGAAAATCCTCTATCACAAAAAGTTAATGACGCGCTCATTATAAAAACATTATCATTTCCAGCCTTGGCTTTAAAAGTTTGTGGTTATAAGCTATTAAATATTCGTTTCATAAAAAATTTAAATCCACATTTTCACTATTAATGTCTGCCTTTCTCAAACAGTAAGTAATTGATATCTGTCGCTAAGTCATTCGACTTTCAAGTCCCTCCATGATTTTCACCTCTCCAATGTTTGCATTGCTCTTTTGCGTTTTAAAATTTTAAAGCAATGTTATTTTAGTCAATTTATTACAACAATGGGAAAAGTACAAACAAAAACAAATTTAAAATTCAGTCATGAATGAATTCAATACGCTTTTGCATCTTGCCGGTCACCAGCAGTTTTGTTTCAGAAATTGCTGGTGTCAATTTCTTGATTTATTGAATTATTTTTTCTGAACGACATATGATTTTGAGAATTACACAGACTTCGGGTAAATTGGCAAAAAAGCGACGCATACTACTGAATAAGTCATTGAACGAGACTGTTTCTCGTTCTGTAAAAAGAATACTGCAATAAGGCTTCTAATCAAGGTTCAAGTCATTAGTTTCAAGTGTCTAAGGTTTTTGAAGCCACAATTCTGTCCTCAAAGTTTGCTATGTAGCATATACTGCACTTCAGCCATCAGAGATAATGCTTGCAGTGAAAACAGCTAACTGGCATATGGCTACTTTCTCGGCCACTGCAAATTCCATCCTTTTGTATTTTCATTACATATTAGAACTTGAGATCATGCTTCTTTTTGCGACATCTACAGCCTACTACTAGCATACTTTCAAACCACCAGTACTGGTTCACAGTGTTTGTTTATCCATGTTCATGAATGAGAAATTTGTTACTGCCAAAAAATGTTTTAAAAAATGGTGACAAACAAACTACAAAACATTTTTTTGAACTATTAATTCATTCTGAGCTTTCAGCAAGTCAGATTTTCGTTACTCTGATAAATATTCTTCTGCAAAATTGCTATAGTTTTTTTCAAAACTAAGACTTTATTCACCTAGGATAGCACTCATACTCTTATTTTTAACAACTATTCGTCGCGAGGAGTAACAGCTGATTAAAGATACACGAACAAAATTGGCTTCTGATCTCCAAGCAACCTGATAAACGTCAATATTTTTAAAAGCAAAAGTATTTTGAAATGAAAAAAAATTAAATATTGTTAAATATTCAGAATTACCCCGTAAAAAGCATTTCTGAAAAACTATTACCATCTAGAAATAGGCATTGGTGAAAAATTACAAAAAATTATATCATTACAGCGGCCAAAATATCATTCTGCATTCAAATACCCGTAACAGCACCAGTGTTAGTCGAGATCACCATAGAACAAAAACATTCAACTTTCATTCCAGATCTTACTTTCCTATGCAGAAGCTCGAAAATATATTGTCCAAAATCTCCTCGTTCACTACTGTACCAGAAATTTCTCCAACAGCTTCTGCTGCAGCACGAACATGATGAGCGACTAATGCTAAATCTCCAAAATCGCTCATCTAGAAAATGCTGCCGTGACTATGCTGTTTTTCATTAAAAAGTAAAAAAATAACCTCTAAAGCCTCCTCGAGTGCTAATATAGAATCAGATAAAAGAGCACGTTGTCGTTCTCTGCTAAGAAGTGCATCAGTATCGTCGCCACAAAGCGAGTCTACTATGTCAGTAATGCAATCGACCTTTAAAGTTAATATGTAAAATAAAGCCCTCAACATACTTCACAATAACCCGTTCAAAAAGTCCGTAAACTTACCAAAGATCCAATCCCAATATTTTCTAAACAGGAAACCGACACGGTTTGCCAAGGCAAATTATATACCACATGTTTTTTTAACTTGTCAGCTTTGTTAACCACTACTAAGACTGGCACTGACCCATCAGCATCACATTCAGCTAAAACTTGTTCCACATGCTCCCTTGGATTCACAACAGCAGCATCTATGACGACAAGAAGTAAATTTGCTTCTGCTACTCTACAAAAAAAGGAGGTACATAACTGATTGGTCACTGGAAGTAACAGATGATAAGGATTTGATTACGCTTCAAACAAAGTATAAGTTTTATCGTCATTTCCTATCAATTCTATGCTTACTGATCTTAAATTAAAACTTTTAGAAACAAAGAGTCCAACTTTAGCTAGAAAATGGTGAGTTAAAATAAATCAGAATTTCAAAATCGTTATAGGTGTAAAACTACGACATTAATAAGAACTGCAGCAGCTTTTGATGATGATGAAATCCTATTATCCCCTCAGGACTAAAATTAATATAAAGTTGTATATTGACGCCCTTTTCGTAAGCATACACAACTTTTTGCAGAGTGATTGAAGTCAGCCACCAAGAGCTTCAATGGCCTTCTCAAATACAGTACAAATATCAATATCACTTTGCTAACACACATAAATTTTACACATTCACAAATAAGTTAGTAAAGAAATGAGAGAAACCTCAGTTTCGTCCTAGCCACTCCTTCGGCTTCAACGTAATCAGACGTTTCTCTTACTCCGGCAGTATCAATCAAAGTTACAGGGCACGAAGCAATTTCAATACGAGTTTCTAAAGCATCCCGAGTAGTACCCTCTACCGGTGAAACGATTGCAATGTCACGGGCAGCTGAAACGAGTAGCGTTATGCGCAGAAATTTAATATTTTTTTTTGAAAATGAATTTTTTTTTTTATAATTAAAGTTTCAAATAGTGATTTGTTTACTCGATACAAACCATCAAGTTTCTGTAATTCTCAAATAACAACAATTCTTGAAAAATTAGTTATAATTTTTCAATTACCTATCCGATTTATAAGGCTGCTTTTACCAACATTTGTCCTGCCAATAATAACTACTCGGAAACCATCACATATAAGCGTCCCCTTTTGAGCCCGTTGTTGTATAGAAATAAGCTCTTTTTCAACGTCGTGAATCTTCAGTATAAAACTGTTTCTGTCAAAATCAACGTCTTCAGCAAAATCTATTCCCGCCTCGAGCATACAAAGCAAATCGACTAATTTTTTCCTAACCGCATTCATTACTGAACCTAAATATTGAAAAAAACTATTTTTCGAAATCGCTTTAATAATCAGTTTGTTTTAAACCAAAAATTTTCCGATCACAAAAAATGGTTAGTTTTTTTTAAATTTTCTCAGCCTTAGTAATATGTCCTTCTTTATCTCTATTAGTATATCATAATGGCAAAGAAAAAAATGTTTGAAAAAGTTATCTTCATTGGAAAACTAGATTCTTTTCTACTTACAAAAAAACTCTCCGGAAACAACGAAAGAAATAATGAAGATAAACTTGTAGTTAATAGTGAAAAAAATGGCGCTTCCCCATCATAACTCCAGCAGACCAACAAGGCCAAAGTGAATTTTGCATATTATAAAACTAAATAAACGTTGTTTAGCTTTCAAACACCATTAAACTATCTGGAAGTTTTGTTCTGCATGTTACTTAGGATAATATCAGAATCGAACTGCATCAGTTTAGTTACATTGCAAAAAAATTGCCCTCACTTTTGGACGCTTCAATTTGTGTGATATAATTCAGTCAAAACAGTTGATAAAATCAGCGAAAATTTTTTAAAACATAGTTTCATCTATTTCAACTCAGAAAATTTTCAATAAGGGCACTGTGGTACTCCAGCGCTTCTCATTCCTCTATTTAGTAAATCCCGAAATCTTTTCGTACTTTTTTGAAAAATAATACCAGTACTGTATTTGTTTTTGTGAGACTTTAATCAATCTTTGAAATAATCTCAAGTTTCCCCACCTTCTTGCTAAATGAAGTGCTTTTAATATATCTTTAATATATCTTTAAAATGTTTTTCTGATCTGTAAATTCTACATTCATTTATAAGAATTCAGTTCTGTATACACTACTCAACCGACATCTCCTGCTACTACAAGTGTATAATCCGGTGTACCTTGATTGAACAAAGCCTGTTATCTTAGCAGTGATTTTTCTTTTTATTTTCTTCTAAATTCTGAAACTTTTAACGCCGCAATAGTATCTGCACACCTTCAAGTCGATCTTCATAACATATTTGTCCCCTTAATCACTCTGTCTCAAAACCAAGTTACCCTGCTGACATTTAACAGTTGCGAATTTTTCAAGGAGTGAAAATTTATGTATTTTTTTAACTTCCATCCTGACTTTAAATACATTTCCAGAGCAATCAAAGGTTTAATCTGGCAGTGAAACTGCTCAAAAAGCACAGATGGAATCCAGCCCATCACTAATGACTATGGTGCTCTAGATTCTCGCTTACACTAGTCCCCTCCTCCACTTCCGTTGTTGTCGCTTTACGTAATTACGGTTAGGAAGTGCCGATAAATGTACTGATGTTATCGTTTTTTAAAATAACGATACAGTTTCAATAAAAGATTACAGAAATGTAATAAATTTACTAATTTCTCGAGAATGAATTGCTAAAGTATGCTGCTTTTGCGTTTCAGCCGAGAGCAAATAGGAGAGCGAATTCACGTCTTTGAGTGACATTTTAGAGTTGAAAAATGCTCTGAAAGACAGATTCTGTCGCACCGGTTGTAACTTATATATGCGCAACTTGAAACATTGATGATAATTTAGATTTGTTTCTAGTAGCCAAGCCAAAAACTTCAGAAACCATTTCAGAGAAAGAGTGAAGAACGAGTGAACGCTTCAAGATAAACTACCGTTTAGTGAACTCGCCTGCTTTTGCAGAACGCACATTATCGAAGCGGTCTAAGGTTTTAGACAAATAATCAACCACCACTCGACTGCCATGAACATATAGCTCTGCTGTATCCTCTCCAGTGTAAGTACCAGGACCTAATTTGAGTAGTTATACAGTTAATGTTTAAGTCTTTTGAAACAACAGAGAAACCTTACTTCAAAAAATGCTATTGTAACTTGACCATGAGAAATTTCATAAATAAATTATGGTAACCTGGAAGAAAAACTGCCATTGAGCGATCTATAAGTTCATCGTTTTGTCCATAAATTTTCGAATAAAATAATTTTCTTGGCTCAAAAACCTTTTTCTTTGTTAAACGTTGAAGACAAAACTTGCTTTCCGGCCCTGCAAAAAACAAACTATTGCTGAAATGATGGAGAAACTGAAGCTAATATTCACAACAATAATTTGTTGTCATCACGAATCATGCGATGCTGCGCTGATAACGATTTCTGTAGCTCATAGAAATTTATAAGAAAAATGTTGTTTGTAATTTCAAAAACATATGAGTTGTTATAATAAGAAATGCAATAAGGGTAGATCCAGAAAAAAACAAAAGATATAGTCCTAATTAAGGAAGATTCATCAAGAAAATGTCAGTTCAAAGTAGTCGTTACATTCAGCCAATAAAGTTACTGTAAAACCAAAACAACTGGAATTTAAAACTGATTTTTAACTTTCTCTGAAACTGCTCAGGCCGATAAGCCGAACCCGCAATCAACCTTAAGATTTCCTTAAAGTGTAAATTCAACTCCTAAAACCTTGAGTCGCACGGGTTAAACAAAGATGTGAAGTGAGTATGAGATATTCAAGAAATGGCAAATGTGACTCACTACCAGTAAAAATATGAAAATTTAACGAAGATTTGATTAAAATAAAAGTAAAGAAATTGTGTCAGACATACTTTCAAAAAACTGTAGAAATATAAAAGGTATATGATAATTGACGAAAAAAATTTGTATTTGAAATTTAGAGGCAAAATTGTTTCAAAAGCAGTCGCAGATTTCGCAAGTGATGCTACTGAGAATCATTTTTTCTCCTTAAAAAGCTAATAAAACTTTAAATAATAAATAAATACTTGTGGTATTTACCTAAATAAGAAGAAATTGCAAATTTTGATTTATCAAAAAACTCGCAAACGCTTTCAGTTTGAACACCATAGTGCCGAGTTTTAGTAAATCCTTTCTTTTTCTAACCACTAAATTTTTTCACAAATGAAGACTGAAACCATATTAAGAAATTAGCCTAATAATTTTCATAACTGTAGGTTTCATCAGTGATGCTAAACGACTGCCTGCGAATGGTAAATGACCGGGCAGAGTAGTTACCTTGAAAAAGATGCTCTATGCCTAACAACGCTAAATTTTTGAAGAAATACCTGATATACGAACAACAGCAATAGCTGAAGGAAGTCGGCCAGAACTCAGCGCATATATAGTAACTTGACGAGAAGCAACCTTAAGTGCGTTCTTCGACAATCCCAACACCTCCCGACCACTACAGAAACACGCAGTCTCAAAACATTTTTGAAAATTTTTAAAAATACAAATGTTCCAACAAAAACAACTGCATAAAACGAACTGTCGACAAAAAGTGAAAGCAGTGGAGCTGATAAAACCCACAAACCTCCTTATCCACATCATTTCACACTTTCCAAGTACTGAGTAACATGGAAGCCCGCAGCTCAAAGCCTCATCGTGAAGCGGAAAGATGCACCGAGCAAATCCTTGAGTTTGATATCAAAAAGTATTCTGAACACACTATTTGTAACCCTTACACATGAATCATTCATGAGTTCATTAAAAAATGTAGTCTTGACCTTAGCCAATTAAACAACTGTAAGATTTGTTCTACAGTGCACAGAAATAATCAAAATTAGACTTTATTTGAACTTTACACAACACTAAACTCATTTCTATCACAATATTCAAACCATCTGGAGAGGAATGTTGTTCCTCAAAAACAACAAATTAATACAAACGAAATGCAGTTCGAATTGATAAAGTGAGTTGATAGGCCTGCACGAAATGCCAAGTAAGAGACTTAGGGTGCAAAAACAGATAAATCACAAAAAAATCTTTTTACTTCTTGCGAAACTTACCCGTCTCATATAATCGATTTAGACACTGGATGTATCAATTGAGAATAAGCTGAACAAAAACTAATCTTCTGCAGCTCAAAATCAGTTAGAAATCTTTGAAGGCTCAAATGTGAATCAAGTTCAAAATAACCAGAAAATAAAAATAAAAGTCTGACCAATGATTATCTGCAGAAAATATAAAGTTGGAAAAGACTAGAATCTCGATAATATAGGTCTATTCAAATAAATTTAAAATTTAAAACAGCTCTGTAAAACTAAACCTGTACAAAGAGAAGAGCACACTTAGTTAGGGACTAAATATTTTGTACTCAGTATGTACTGTTTAATAGAACCTGGAATAGGCAACGCAGAAATGGTCTCTGTCGAAAAGCTATGTCTTATTACAATACGAGATAAATATTTAAGAGATGGAAGGACTTCATGCCTTTTCAAAGGTTTCAATAAAGCCAGCTTTTCAGTTCCTGTTCGAATGTCCTTCTTGTGCATTAATAAGCAAACACCACGCTCCTTGCACTTTTGTATAGAATCCTCGACAAATGTTACAAGAGAATGGGCTTTTACCAGTGCATTCGGGCCTAAACAAAATAATTGACCAAAGATTTTCGAAGGAATCATTTCTTGAAGTGTTGGCAGTGCAATAATAAAAGAAGAAAGCTAAGCCTGAGTCTGAATGCACATGCATTAATAATGATGTGCCTACCTGTGAACTTTTACGTAAACTACGGTATTATCAAATTTGACTAAAACTTAATGGACTGAAATAACAGAAAGCTAGCAGAGGTCCAAAATAATAGAAATATCAAAAAGCAACTCTCGTACACTTCTGTCTAAGAGTAGATTTATCAGCTAATGTTCCAATTCTATAACAGCAAACGCCAACTACCTTATCAATGAATTGAAAAAAAATGCTCTGACCTTAAAAAAAAAAGAAGAATAATGAACAACTAAACGGGGAGTAAAATAACACACCTCCTAGACAGAAATATTCACCGTGCCGAGGAAGTCGTGTATGTAAAACAGAATCTGCAGTTCTGTATGAAACGGTAAAGATGTACCGGTCACTAGCAGAGTCGCGAATAAGAAATGTTCCAGGGGGACGATCCATCAGAATGCGTTCTGTTTTCCTCCAAGAAATGTTCCCCCAGTACCAAGTGCACTAAAATTAAATTAAATCCGAAATAATTCTGAGACGAAATGATAGCTTTGTTTGTAAAACTGCTCTTTTTAAAAGCATATATTTCGGTATTTCAACAATGTCAACTCAACCTGCCTTTAAAACTTCTCTTCTCCGTTGAAATAGCTAAAATTTTCAAAGAATTAAACAGTATTTTAAAAATTTCTAAAGGAAAAAAAGGTGTCTAAAGTTTCTAAAAACAAAAACGAAATTAAAAAGGACGAAATAATTCAAACATAGAGCACATCATTAAAAGTTAAATAATGTCATGTTTTTGAAACAGAACCGGTAATAAAACACAACAGCACAAAGAACCGAAGAAAAGCGAAACATGGGTTTTTTCACACCATTATCTGTCGGTTTTTTCTTTGCTAATTTTTTATACTTGTGCAAAATTCACTAATAAGGTCTCGATATCGAAGACAAAAGAAATGGCAATTTCAAAGTTTGAATATTCATGTACCTAAAGTTTATATTTTAAAAAATCTGAAACGATCTCCTTCCTTACCTCTCTTACGGCTTTCATTGACTGCGAAAAAACCATGGAACTTGATACATCCTTAGAGCCGTCATAATCTGAACCAGACATTTCGAACTTTCCGACTCATTCCACAGAATCACAGCAACAGATAGATCTGAAACCTGACTTATGAAATATAGTTCTACTATAAGGAAAGAAAGAATTGAAAATAATGCTAATACAAAAGCCTGTAAAGAAAAACGAATAAAATGAAAGACTTTACTTCACGATAAACAACGCTAAAAACAAACCAGTCAAGTAATACGTAACAAAAACAAAAACCTCACTAGACTAATTAAGAAATTAAAGCCAAAAACAAATGCCATTTTACACTCACGAATGTTAAAAAAAAACAATGACGGTATAAATAAAGAGATGAAAAACTACTTTAACGGATTATTTAAAATAAATTGTCAGCAGAATATTAATTTTTTGATACATAACAAGGAGGAATTTTGGAAAATATAGAATTGAAAGGTTTTGCTGTAAAATGAGTCGTAGGAAGAGAAATAGCCAAAAGCTTTATTTTAACAAATAGTCATTTCACTAAAAATAAAAAATGTGTTACGTCTGTTACACATTACAACCTTAATGATAGGAGAAATCATCATGCCCAACAGCGGCGCTTACATAATTGATCACATCGTAAACAAGAAATAAAACAAAAGCTTGGCGACCCGCCAAAATTTGGAAAAGTGTCAACTCGTGAATTTTTAAAAGAGAGTCGCTCTAAGATTGGCGAAGTTTTTTGGCAAAAAAAAAAGCTCTAAATAACAATTTCTTTAATAATAAAATTTCGTTTCTGTAATAAATCATGACATCTTTTTTTTGGTTGATTTTTCGTTTTCATAAATAGGTAAAGTCTAGCATTGGATCTCAAAATGTAAAAGATAAACCTCAAAAGAACTTTTTTTTTGTAAGTTGAGCTATACCTTCTATATTTACAATGGTTGCATTTGCAAAATCAAGTCGTCCTGTTCCATGTCAAATAGCATATTTTTTTTAGTCGACTACTCAGATTTTTTCAGTCTTCGCCAGCTTGTAGGACTTAGTAGTTTGACTCTAAAATCGAAAGAAAGTATTCTAAGAAATATGGTAATGGCATATTCAGAGCCTTCTATAGAAAAAAAAAAAGTAATGTAGATTTTGCTGACCGCGGTCGCCTTTAAAGGCTTCTGATTTTGCCCATTCACAACGGTTTTTTATAACTTTTAATCCTCTGAAAATCCCTTGGGCTTAGAAAGGTGGTGAAGCGAGTAAATTGCCAATCATAAGAAATTAGGGTAAAAACGAAGATTGAAAACATTAATTTCAAAAAATTATCATTTAGAATTTTCTAAAAAAAAGTGTGTTTTTTGAAGACATAACTTTTGCTTAACATATTGAAGAAACACCAGGTAGGCAAAAAAGCTTCATTTAATGCAACATTTTGGCGTCTCTGCTAGTAACAGGATTTCGGTTTTGGCTGAACTGTTGTTACGTTGAAACATGCCTTTATTAAGTTGGTTCAGTAGCAGGTGACTGATAAAAAATTTGTCGCTGTTGCTGCTTTAGATGAAATTTTTCCAAAAAAAAAAAAAATCGCTATTTCAGTTGCTCTTCAATTCAAATCGTTGATGCTGGTTATTGGCAGTAAATATAATTTTGCCATCATCTTCCCAGCATTGCATGCTGTCGTACAGTAGAACTTTTATTTGCAAGCGATAGGTAAGCCTACGCAAAAACTCAATGCTCAAAGGGCTTTTCTTGGTAATTTCTGAGGATACAAAAACCAGTAATATTTTTGTCAAATGGTTTGAGCTCTCACTAACAGTCCTTTCTCTGTGCCTCCCATGCCGTCACAAACAGTTTTTTAATGCAGTATTGCCAAAAAGTGCCACTCTGCTGTGGGAAGTAGTCTTTCGAAAAAAAATGAAACTTTTAAAAGTCTTTTGTGAATAAAAAAAAGTAGAGGTCGTAAAGGAAGATCACACTCACCAAAAACTGCTTCTTTTTTCACACTGTAGTTTAATTGCGCACTTCTCAAGACACTTTTTTTTGATTTTGCAATCTTTAACCAAGTCCTACAGGCTGGCAAAGACTGAAAAAAATTTGGAATGTAGAACAAAAAAATGTTTTTACGATTTGATGTGGACGACACGGGTGCTCAGTTACCGTAATTAGCATTTTAACACTGCTAGCAGCTTCAAAATGTACAAAGTATTTTGAACCACAAAATAACAGCAGTTGCTTACTGTGAAAGGAAAAACGCTTAGACATTGCTGAAATTAAAATACCTCACAGGATGGAGTAGAAAATCTCGTACACAGTTTATGGAGGAAGGCTAGCAGAGGAGAAAATGCTTATTCAAAGATGCAATAAAAAACTGATAATTCAGTTTTTCTGCAACACAATTTTAGTATATGGAACTTCTGCATTCGTTTGTTGCCTTATTTCAAATGAAGATTATAAATCTAAAAATTTTTTAGTTAATTATTAAGAT